AACAAAAGTACATTCAAATTTTTTTGATTTGCGTAAAAAATGTTTTCGTAATAATTAAAAAAAAACAAGCAAAAAAAAAATGATAAGCGTGTCAACACATCAATTTTAATTTAAGCGCTTTTTGAAATAAGCGTCCAATTTTTACTTTTTATCGAATGAATTAAAGGCAAATGAAGTACTTATTATTTTCGATTTTTGTAAATTGGAACGAATTAAAGATTAACTATGGATCAAATATTAAGTATAAGTAGGTATATGAATAAATTAAAAATATTAAATTTGTAATTAATTATAAATTGAATAAAATCGGTATGACTGTGGAAATTGAGAAAAAAATTGATACTCAATTTCATGGATTCTTAATTAATTTTAAAATTTCCATGTGAATTTCGTTGGTTTGAGAATCGAATCACAACTCAAAAATCAGAATCTTGAATTTAAAAAAAAAACAAACAATTTTAAATGTTTGACTTACTGAACTGGACCTATATATGGAATCGTAAGGTAATCAAAGATTTTTACGACATACAGACAAATTTTACGGGATAGACAGATTTTGTTCAACTAAAACTAAAAATTTATTAAATTTTTTGACCTTCCCAACATCTACACTGTAACTTTCCTCTTTAAGTTAATAAGAAGGTACATATATCAAAGGAATAATGACAATTTTTTTTTTTCAATTTAAAATATTTTTGCTAAATATCTTGTTTTAAATAGATTTCTTCCGCTAAATTAGCTTTACTGGTAAAAATGTTCAAAAATATTGAGTTCTTCTAAAATTTCTAAAAAAAAATTTTACGACTTTCGCGTTTCACAGTTATTTTTGTCTTTTTAATACTAATTACTTTTCCAAGTATTTCAACTTGGCGTTTTTTCTTTCGGTAACCATACATTTTCGTCTCTTAAAGGGTCCGATTTTGACAAGTTTAACCAAAAATGTAAATGCCATATTCTTAAAATCAATGCAAACCAGTTTTCATCACAAAATTAAAAATTTTAACTTTTCGTCACATACTATACAGCTCTTAAAATAAAAAATGCATAAATGGCTTTCGAATCTGACAAGCTGAATTTTTTGAATTAATACACTTTTGTCAAACAGAACCTATTCTAAGTACATATGTGAGTAAATATGAATTTTTTAAAATTTATGCATTTGTATGATTTCATTAAAAATCAATTTAGAAAAATCGAACAGGATAAGATTTACTTTTCAATGTGTTACAAAAAAATTCAACTTAGAGAATATTTGATGTTATTGGATATTTTACATTTCTTCTCACAGTTTCGAATTCAAATTCAAATCAATTATGAATAAACATTGGTAAGGATTACCTAATTCAATTGAAAATCAAAAATAATTTTTAAATTCTGCTACTTATAAGACACTGAATTTTCATCAACAAATTTTATAGGGTACCGACTTATACAACTTAAATTTCTCTTTACAAAAAGCATATTTCCTAGCAGTGTTGCTATACTGCAACTTAGTTAAAATTTTAGTTTCGCTTCAATGAAATTTACAGAAAAAAAAAGAGTCAAAATAAAAAATTTTAATTCGATCATGTTAAAAAAAATGTTTTCAAGGAAATCTGAGTAAAACTTCAAAATATTTTTTTTTAAAAATAAATAAAGAAAATTAAAAATTCATAATGATCAATGTCATAAACTTTTATCGAAAATTATTATTAAAACGTGTCACAAAGTATTCAAAGTATTTTTGCATACATAAAAATTGTTGAAATATTGCTAAACATTTTAATTTTTAAGAAATTGAAAGCTTAAAATTCCCAGCTTTTTTTTTAAATATTTTTTGCTATTTATATTATTTTTAAGTAAAAAATGCTTGAATAAGGTTCTTTTGAACAATATAATTATAAAATATGTTAGTATGCAAGTAAATAATATCCCAAAAAAAAAAAATGTGCAAAAATATCAGAATTTTGCATATATGTTAAGTAAGTATGCACAATTTATATTTCAACTTCCTATGTAAATGCAGCAAAATTTTTAAAAATTATGATTATTTTTTAAAATTTTTTTTTATTTAAAATACATAAAGGTCATTCACTACATTTGACTTTAAAGGTCACGTGTAATCAACTGCAGTAACTAAATTTTATGTATGTTAAAGGGATATACAACAAATTAATGTGATTTAACGTGCTTTTGTAACTAAATTTCATTGGCAACACTGATTTAAAGAAAATGCACCAATTTTATTATTGAATTTTATTATTAATTTTATTTATAAATTTAAAATCATTAATTAAAAAATTTTTGTTTTACAATTTGATCTTTTGAACTTTATTGCGTTAACGTAAATGAATAAATTAGAAATTCTAATTGTAGAAAAAAAAATATTAATGACCTTTTCATAATTTTATACAAATTATTTAAATTACATAAATACGTAGACATTTTTTTTTTATATTAGGAATAAATAATGAATTAATAGAGTAATATTGATAATATTATTCAAACTTAGCATTGAACTTGTAATCAATTTCATTAAATTGTAATCAGTTTGATAATTTAAGTATACTTAGGTACTCAACGAACTGTCAAAAATTCTAATTGAAAATTAGATACATCGCAATTTGATTTGTTAAATTTTACTATCTACTACAAAATATGTAAATTATCAGTCCTTACTTTAAAAAATCATTTGAATTCTAAAATTCAAAATACAAACTGTATTATCGAATTTATCATATCAAATTGAACAAAACGTGTCAACAATTAAAAATTTGAGATTAATTTTTGAAGTTTGATTACCTTAGTTCCGATATCAAAGTTTCTCGGTCAGTTTGTAACCATTGTAATAACCACCAAAGAAAACAAGTCCGAGACTATGCCCCGTTTCCTTATCAGTACAATTAATTATATAGTATAATTTAAAATTAACAGATGTGAAAGAATCTTAAAAAATTTTTATTCCCTCCGGTAGGTAATACAAAAATAATAAAATCGAAATTTTCTGAAAATTTAACAGCTGCACTTTTTATATTTGAACTGAAACGAGTGAAAATCCTATATTTAAATGATAAAAGAAATGACCAAATACGTACTAAAAAGACAGAATGAGCTCATTTTTGCAGCAAAAACATTTAATATTCATTTTATATGCGTAATAATGTAAAAACATTCTTCGATAAACCAAAGCTTCAAACTCGTTTCTTGCCAAAAACGTCAAAAATACATTCAGAGACTTATTAATTTATAAAATGCTGCTATAAAACGTTAAAAAACTCTAACTACGAATTTGCTACAAAAATTAACTCAATGATACTTGTGACTATTTGACACTTACCAGCGTAGCGTCACTAAAAGAGTAACACGCTGAAATTGCCAGTAGCTTAGCATAAATACCGTTTTTTTTCGAATTGTACAAAATTTTTAGCCAATATCTACAGTTTGCAACGAATATTCTAGGAATAAGTAACATTTTAATACACCATTGTCATTTGTTACCTTGCCTGTATTAATTTTAAAATTAAAAATTAATTTTAAATTTTTGTTAAAAAATTAATTTGGAAAAAAAACCTTATAAGTACGTACATTGTGAATTTAAAAATAAACTAATTTAATTAAAAAATATTAAAAATTCATAATGTTATAATTAATTTTGTGTGTGTTTGTGATTTTTCAAAAAGATTTTCTCAAAATAACCATAAATGGTGAAAAATATACTTATACAATATATGAAAATGAGATTGAGTATCGCGCGCATTAATCCCACTCATAAATTCCATATTAATTTAAAAAAATAATAATAATATAAAAAAAACAAAATAAGAAAAATAACACCATCACAAAATTATAGAAAAAAAAGTAACAAACATTTTTTTTTTTTGTAATAAAAAACGCAAACTCAATTTCATTCATTAAATTGAGAGTCTATTAAAGAATGAATCATTTAAGTAGGCATGTATGGAAACACGTATGTATACATAAATATGTAAGTATATTACAAATAATAAACATTAAATTTGTACACATTGTTTTTTTTTTTGTTTTTGTTGCAGCACGTAAACTATAATACAATAAACATACTCAAACGACATACATATCAAACGACATCATGTATATAATTTATTGCAAAGAGGCTTGAATTTAAAAAAAAAAAATGAGTTGGCTCAGTTTTTTTTTTTATGACACTTCTTTTCTGTTATACATACTTTATTCCTACTCTATGGAATTTATTTATTAAAATAATAAAATAACAAGTAGAAGAAGAAGAAATAAAAGAAAAGAGTTAAATGAAAATAACATAAAACTAAATAACTTAAATACCATTTCAATGGCACACCCAATTAAATTTTTATATTATCACATTTTGTACTAAATTTTTTTTTTGTTATACCATAAGTAGCTCTAACAATACTTATGTATGTATATGATTGGGTACATGAGCACTATTTAAATATGTAAGTATGTAAAATAAATCTACAATATTATAAAATAATTTTGACAAATATTTAAAATTCCTTGCTTCTGTAATGGCACACACTGTAAAAAATTATAAAATTTTGTTATTGTTTTCTCATATTTTAATGTTTAATTATTTAATATAAAAAAAAAAAATATTAAAATTTTGCCACATCAAACCATAATTTTTTTTTTTTTGCTTCGTTTTTACTGTTATTTTGTTTGTTTTTTATATTATTTTTTATTTTTTTTTAGCAAATGCCACACTATAAAAATTAATTATTTTCACTTTTACTTTACTTTATTTTTTTTAATATGTACATATATTTATTAAATTATTAAATAAATAATTGTAGGTTGCTTTATTGACATTTTAATAGCCCCCATAAGTAATTACAACCAAAAAAAAAAATATATTTTAGACCTCTAATTATTCATGTTTGGAGAACCCCCCTTTTCTTAAAATTTAATTAATTTTTTTCTTTTCAATTTACTAATATCATTTTCTTTTTAAAATTAATAAAATAAAATAGAAATTAAATAATAATTAATTAATTTTCACAAACCTTTTTTTAATATTATGATATCGAATATGTTTTGGACTTAAATCCTTTAAAAAATGATCACTTTTTAACATAATTGCATTATCGCGGCCCGTTTGAGTCGGCGATATTGTCATTTTTGTACGATACGCGACAGACATGTTTAATGTTCCAACACTGGTACTCAACTGTCCAATACGAACTTGTTTATTACCCTCGCCTGTTTAATAATTTGTAGGTTGGTAGTTTTTTTTTTTTTATTTGTTTGTATTTTGTTTTTTATTCGTTTTGTTCACCGCATTTTACATTCATTCATTTTATATACAATTTTTTTTTTTTTTGTTATTTTATTCATTTTTCATTTATTTATGGTTGTATTGAAGAAAAATGTTGTTGAATATTTTATTTTTAGCATTTTTTTTTTTTAAATTAATTTGATTTTACAAAATTTTCATCAATGATAACGGTTAGTTTTATAAATGAATTTGAAATTATGATTAGAAAATTATAAGAGAGAGAATGAGAGAAAAATAAATTAGAAATAAAATGTGAGAGAGATAGAAAAGGAAGAAAATATTGTTAAAGTTTTTTTTTTTTGTTTTATTTTTGCACATTTAATTCGTCATCATATTTTAATATTCACCAATTTGTGTTTGTATTCATAGATGTATGAATGAATGTTTGTAGAGTGTGTTAATTTAAATGATTATAAAATTCAATTTGCAATAGTAGTTGTCATTATTATTATTGTTGTTATTTTAATTCAATTTTATTATCAATTTAAAAGAGTATAAGTAGTGGTGGCGTCATGGCGCGTTTATTTTAGTATTGGTGAAATTTTATTTTATATTTTAATATTGTTGAAATTTTTTTTTTTTTTGTATTATTGTTTTTATTTTTTAAGTTCAAATATCATGCGCGTCACATTTTTTAAATATTTTCAGTTAATTTTTTTTTTTTATTATTTTTGTTTTTTCATATTGTATTCGCACAAATTGTAATAGTATTGGTGAAATTAATGCAATTGTAGTTGTGTTAAAAATATTATGTGGTTTGATATAATTTGCGAATTTTTTTTTTTTATTTAATTTTTTTGTTGTATTTTATTTTTGTTTGTTTGTTTTTTTTTTCACATAACACGTAAATGTGTGTAATTTCAAAAAAAAAAAATAACAAAATGAAATAATTTTCACAATTTTTGCACAATTTTAATATTTTTAATTCAGAATGTTGAATTTTTTTTCATTTTTTCATTTTTGTTGTAGACAATTTGTTGGATCGTCATGTTGTTCGATTGCATAATGTTTGATTTGAAAAAAAAAAATTGAAAAAGAAACAGCAAACACACATTTTATTTTATTACCAGGCACGATCAAACACCCCAATGTTGACATATTTTAATTTATGATACGTTGTTTGGGATTTTTATTTTTTTTTGTTGTTGTTTTGTTTTATGTCAAAAAGGGAAATTACAAAATTCATTGTTGAATGATGGTGCGCGTAATTTTGTTGTAATATGAAAAGAGAAGAAAAAAAATAATATAAAATTATTATTAATGGTATTTTTTTTTAAAAAATTTATAAATAAATATTGTATGTAAATATGTAAATTATAGCCATTTATTTGTAAAATAATATTCATTAGCCAATAAGTATGTATGCAAGTAATTTGTATATCACAATTTTCTTAGAGTATTATGGTCGCACACGCATATTGCAAAAGAATAGTTACTATAAATCATTCGAGCAAGACATTAAGAAATATTAAAAATATTTTATGTAAAATAGACTTATAACATTAAATTAAGTGTTGAATGCTGTAAGGGTTTCTGACTAAATTTTTTGATTTTATTTTCCATATGCAATATATGTATATGTATGTGGGTATGCGCATAGTATATAAATCAAAGTTCATTAGAATAGTAGATAATAATAGAACTGTCAAGTCAAATTATGGTGGTACGCACATACTATGTACCCACATGCATATACTTACATACACACATATGTACATACCCACATATCTCATATTGTTATTAAAGTAAATTGATCCTAAAAACCACAAAAAAATTGTGTAACGTTGATTGTTTTTTTTTTTTAATTTAATAATTTATTTTTGATTTTTAAAAATATAAGTACATGTGTACATAAAGTATGTGTATATACATATACCTATGTAAATTGAATTTTAGATAATTTTAATGAAATTAGAAAATTGTGGCTGACATGGTGGTTAAAAGCGTACTCAATCGTTAATAAAATAATCTATAACAAGAGACCATTATAAAAATACCAAATATACCACTTGTAATGTTCTACATAACGTAAATACATGGTTATTTAATTATCTACGGATTAAATACCGCTAATGTGTAAAATAGATAATAAAAAAAAAATAAGATTTGAAGGTTTTATAATTTTTAGCATGAAAAATTAATTAACATGATAATAATTTTTTTTTTCGAAATAAGTACATGTTATATAAATTTATAAAAATATTATTTTATGTACATGTTTAACACAAGAACACTGTGGTTTATTTTTCTTACCGTACATAAGTACTCATACCTTATATTATATTGAAATCTAATATTAAATTAATTTACAAGAAAAATTAATTATAATATAAATTAATAATCAGATTTAGCATTCACATAATAGACCATAACATGTAAAATACCTACTTATGTATGTATAAGTTATCAAACTTTAACGCAAGTTGTAATGAAGATTCTGTATATGGGATTTGCTTTTATTTTTATGGGCTTTGCTCTCTCATCATTTTTAATAATTAAAAATTTTTATTTTTAATTATTAATTATGATTTGAAATTTCCCAACAATATGAAAATTTATAATATCAAATTTCAAATGTAATTTAATAATTACATTAGACGTTAACGTTAGCTGTACTAACTGTTATAACTACTTATATATGCACTTACACCTTAAATTTAACTTAAATACAGAATATACGGACGAATTTTTATCGTAATAGCAAAGTAAAGTAATAAAATACGTTTCTTTTTTAATTAATGAGTAATTAAGAACGAATTCAATCTGTATTGAAATATTTCTAAAATTCCAATTACTGATTTATGATTTTATATATTTTAGTTTTCGTAAAATTCTTAATATATTCAAAACCTTCCAACGAAACTTAAATGTCCGAAACTTGTCAGGTATAAATTTATATAGCTATGTTACAGTTCAAAACTACGTATGTATATATTAAAGTTACAATAATTGAGCTTTTTTAATTCAAATCATTACAAGGGTCTTAAAATGATCAGAAGATATTTTTTTTCCGCATATGCATTTACAAAAATATATGGTTGGTGAATTCGTCTAAGCTTTAGAGAAATAAGTTGTCGAACGTCTCGAATAAAAATTGTGTGAGACTAATTAAGGCGAATTAACAAGAATTGAAAAACAATATTTTGAGGTTATGGTAATGTTATTTTTCGATTTCTTGTACTAATATGTTTAGGGATCTAGTGACAGAAACTAATAATGGTGACAAATTCGCCCAGTTCATTTGATTCGCTTACTTTTTTTTTTCGCCGATCTTGATAAGGTCGTCAATATTAATCAATTTTGATTAATAATTTTGATAATAGAAAAATCGAACAATAGCAATACAAAAATGAAACTGTTATTAATAACAAAGTTAGGAATTTTTAATTTGTTCTATTAAAATTTACTTATAGAGTAAGAGCTTTCAGCGAATTTAAATCTCATACTACGTTTTTATTGGCTTTTTTATTCGGTAATCATTTTGAAGACAAATTATTTTTTATAGATTTAAAAAATACTAGAACAATATATTTCGTTTTTGAAGAAACCACTGGCAACAGTTACTGGAATTTACAAAACAAAAAAAAAAGAGGAAATGATAAAACTGTAAATCTGATTTATCACAAAAATTAAAAAACAAAAACAACAAGAATAAAAAAAATCAACAATTGCACAAGTTATACACATTCAACTTTTTTTTTTTTTTGTTTAAATTAAAATTCCGGAAATCAAAAATCCTAGTCCAGAAGCAAGATAATAATTATAGATAATATAGAAAATACTTTATGGTAATTATTATTATCGTATATAAAATTAAATACAAAATGTGAATGTGTGTGTGTGTATAGTCGACGAATGTGTTATGTGAATTATTTCCAGTATTTAATTTCATTTTGATTGTTTGTACATCGGTTCTTGTCTCGCGCCTAAAAATTTACTTGTTTGTTTTTTAAAATTGTACGGTCAAGTGCCTGTCAGAATGCCATGCAATGAAAAAAAAATAAATACCTAGATTTGTTAGTTTTTTTTTTTACATAACTTAAAAATTATTTTTGTGTTTTTTTTTCCTTGTTCATGTCAATTATTTACAACGATTCATTCATTACATCACAGTCACAATTACATTACATCGTAATAGAATTTTATTTTTTACTCATCTCTTTTTTGTTTTCTTTGCATTTTTCTAGTGAATATTCTAGAGACCGCACACATTTGAGTATTACTTGTTTGTAAACATATACGAGTAGGCATAACATACATACATATTTATACGTAAATGTTTATAAATAAAAATATTTATAATACACCTTGTAACCTACATACCAATTACATGTGTATGTACATTCATCCCCTCAATAAAAGGGGTGAAAAATTTCAATGTAAACAATTTTTAGTTGTTTTTCTTGTTTTTTTAATTTATATTCTAGTTACACAGCTCTTATTACACAATAAATCTATTATAATTATAGTAGTATATATGTATGTATGTAGAAGTGTAAATGTATTTGTACAATTTTGTATGAGTTTAAGTTCAATAATTTGTAATAATAAATAGAAAAACAAAGTAATAGTAAAAAAAAAATTATGAAAATAAGTGGTGCGGAGCGGAGCGGTGGGTTTTGTAATACAATAAAAAAAAAATTCGTAAAAACCCAGTATTTCCGCATACCAAAAGTTTCTAGTCAACGTTTCAAAACAATTTTGTTAAGTGTTTTTTTTTGTTTTGCTTTTTGTCTAACTTTTTACCCTTTTAGCATTGTCATCTTCAAAATCAGTGACGGATTAAGTTAAAAGTAAATAATGTAGAAAATAAAGACTTTTCAAGAATTCAGTTCTAGTACTTAGTTAGAACAGTAAAAGCTTTATGTATGTCAATCTATACTGGAACTACTGGAATTCTTCAATTTACGAACTTAAAGAGTTG